AAAAAATGGAATTTTGGTCTGTAGCACCTACACCAAACACCCTGTATATTTAAAAATTATATCAAAATATAGCTCTCATGAACTCCTAAAACTTTTGTATGAAACATTTTTGTGTATCTCCTTCAACAAACCAGATATTGCCTGTCACATAAAATGTGGGACAACCGGTATAGGCAGCGGAACCAAGTTGAAATTAATCGGGTACCAAAAACACTACTGTTTATGTAGGATCGTTCCTGCACTGATGAAAGGTAATACCTCGAAACAGGCCTGTAGGTGATCTACTTGAATAATTTCAGCTTAGTCCTGCTGCTGGATGAACAAGAAACACCTGCAGGGCTAACCCCGATTAGGTATCTTGCATAAATGTCTGTCATATATAATTCAATATCCAGCGAGGTATTGGCCGGGAAAAAGTTGTTTTCCCAGAGCCTACAGTGTAGGTAGCTGGGAGAGATGAATGTTTTCAAATTTTATTTCGAAATATTCAATTTTGTAATCAAATTAAAAAACTTTATATCTGTTGAATGAATATTTTCCACACTAAATTTGTAATAGCTTCCTTTGCTGTTCTGTGTATTTATTCCTAATTATTCTTACTTAGGATATATTGTAGTCTGTACAAGACAGTGATTAGCTAGTATTTTATTATACGCATTGATAAGCATGACATTTATATTTTCATGAACTTTTTTTTCAGCTTGGTCCCAGAAGAAACGCTTTTTTAGATGAATGTCTGAAGGGATAACCAACACTCTCAGAATATCTTGGTCCTAGAAAGTGACTCCGACTTCGTCATTTTGTAATGAACCGAAGTGAAGGCAGCATGCAAATCAGGTAATAATTTTTTTTTATTTCAAATTGCAGTTGAATTTGTGTGAAAAAGTTAAAATGGCAAATTGTATCAAAATCATAATCATGAGAATAAAATATCAATAGTGCAATGAATGTGGCTGCTACGCCGCTGGTAGAGTGCCAAGGGCGCATGCCTGGAGAACGATCTCCAGATCAGAGAACGTTGGGGTTGAACAGTCGATTGATGGCCCTGATTGTATATAAGTACATTAATAAAAGGAGTGTAAACGTGGTCATACATGATTGTATGTATATGTTTATAAATCTCTCTGGATACTATTGATGCAATCAGTCTGTAACACAACAGTTGACTATGTTTTACGAACAAAACAAATTATTGTCATCCTCACAGCACGGTTTCACTAAATCCAAGAGTACAGAGTCAGCCCCATGTGAATTTCAGTCGAGAATGTTAATGCTCTTGACAGGAAAAAATGTGTCATGAGCCTTTTTATAGATTTCTCACGTGCTTTTGATTGTGTGGACCATGAACTGTTACTATCTAAGCTTTATAGATCAGGTGTAAGAGGGGTACCACATGATTTGGTGAGATCTTATCTTATAGGTAGGAGGCAAAAAGTGAGAATTGGTCAATGTACAGGCGATGATTGTGATATAAAGCAGAGAGTTCCCCAGCGTTCGAATTTAGGCCCCCTTTTTTTCTTGTTATTTGCTAATGATCTAATTACGTTCATCAGTAAAACAAACTCGGTATTCGTTGCAAGTTAGGCTGCGATACAAATATTTTGATTGTTGAAGACAACATGGAGGCACTCCATAAAACTGCTGAGGATATACAGGGCTTTTCATGATGAGCGTTGATTAGCTGTTTCTTACAAACTATTTAACGGATCAACCTGAAAATTTCACAGTATGCATAAATCAATATGACCTACACGCCTAAAATATTTCAGACGAAACGGCGTTGTCGCTTCTACTATAAAGTAGCGACTTCTTTGATTTTTCAAATGGAACACCCCGTATATAATATCATATTATGATTCATTATCACTTTGTCAACAAATTCATATACTATTTTCCTATACTTATCTATTACCGTTTAGAAGATATAAATTAATTTCGATATTTTTTTTACCAAACATGAACTTTTATAAATGCTGATAATCTTGAACTCTCTTGCACTAAAACGATCAAATTTGAAATGGAGTGGAGTGATACTATGAGGATCTTCACTCCGAGTCATATTTTCATTTGCCTCATACAGGGTCTTCAAAAAATGCAGATACTTTGATCTCATGAAAAAATGAGTGGAACTCAATTTTTTCAAATGGAACACCCTGTATATTTCAACATTTTTGAGGTCTACATCCAATTTTAGATTAACTTTGTTCAGATAATACTATTTTTATTTTGAACCATTTTCGAGATAAACTGTTTCAAACGGAAACTGACGTGGTTTTCATGCTCGTTTTTTTGAATTCATCACTTATTTTAGATATTCAACATTTTTTTTATACTTAGTAATATTTCTTTTTGATCCAGTTTTTTAACTGTCTCAGATCAGTCAATTCGAAATTGGTATGTACCTACCTTAGAAAAAGTTACAATTTGTATACATTGAGGTATTAGTCTCTAACGTACAACAGTACACATTAATATTTTTTAATAGTGTGCTTTGGAAAAATAAATAAACCAATTATTTAACGTCAGACTTTCGTTGGTGGTTTTGACTGATTGTGATTGCTGCCAATTATAATAGAATAATACAGTAATGAAGATTTCTTGAATTTATCAATAATTTATGGTGAGTGCAATAGAATTGCAAGTAGAACATGCCGAGTATTTCATGAAAGATACCCACAACTTCCGAAGCCGAATAATAATGTGATAAATCGACTACTAAAAAACTGTAGGTTGAATGGAACCTTCCGTCCAAAAATCATTCGTAAGAAGACTAAAGTGGATGATGATGACAATGGTATAACAGTTTTGGGATATTTTCATGCATTTCCAAATACTTCTCTGCACGAGCCTGAAAGGGAGATAGGTATACCCAACGTGACATTTGTCGAATTCTTAATAAGCATAAATGGCATCTCTATAAGTTCTACTGTGTCCAACATTTGAAAGAGACTGATTTACCTCATAGAGTGGAATTCTTTGAATGGTTACTTGTCAAGACTCAAGAGGATGAACATTTCCTTGACAATATCATATGGACAGATGAGGCCAAGTTCACAAAAAATGGAGTTTTCAATAGACACAACAGTCATTATTGGGCGCCAGAAAATCCCCATGTTGTCCGCCAAAGGGGTTTTCAAGAAAGATGGCAATTCAATGTATTTTGTGCTATAAAGAACGAGTCAATTTTTTATATCGAGTTTTATGATGATAATTTGAATGCATCAAAATATGAAGATTTACTGAGGAATGGAATTCAAATGATTTTAAATAATAGACCAGGAAGAGAACGTGGATGGTACCAAATGGATGGTGCTCCACCCCATAATTCTCATTCAGTCAGCGAAGCTTTAACCGAAATCTTCGAAGACAGATGGATTGGTGATAATGGACCTTTTCGTTGGCCTCCTAGAACATCAGATGGTAATTGTGTGGGGTTTCATTAAAAATATGGTTTACTCTACTCCAATAACAACAATGGAAGATATGAAATCGAAGTTACAACTGCTTTCAATAGTTTGACTCCAGACTTGATCAGAAGCGCTACACATGACAATCTTTTGAAGAGATTACATGTTTGTTTAAGTAGAGGTGGAGATGTGTTTGAACAGATTCTGAAATACACTGACGATTAAATTAACTCATTAATTTATGGGTTTATTATTTTCAGTTCGTGTTTCAGCGTTAATAAAACTATTGTTTGAAGAGAAGTTTCATTCGATGGTTGAGGAGTATTTAATAATTATCTTTTCATTGTATTATCTGTGACTAATTGAGAAACATCAAACCAAATCTGTTTTACAAAAATGAGTGATGAACCATGTCAATTTCCGTTTGAAACAGTTCATCTCGAAAACGGTTCAAAATTGAAATAGTATTATCTGAACAAAGTTAATCTAAAATTGGATGTAGAGCTCAAAAATGTTGAAATATACAGGGTGTTCCATTTGAAAAAATTGAGTTCCACTCATTTTTTCATGAGATCAAAGTATCTGCATTTTTTGAAGACCCTGTATGAGGCAAATGAAAATATGACTCGGAGTGAAGATCCTCATAGTATCACTCCACTCCATTTCAAATTTGATCGTTTTAGTGCAAGAGAGTTCAAGATTATCAGCATTTATAAAAGTTCATGTTTGGTAAAAAAAATATCGAAATTAATTTATATCTTCTAAACGGTAATAGATAGGTATAGGGAAATAGTATATGAATTTGTTGACAAAGTGATAATGAATCATAATATGATATTATATACGGGGTGTTTCATTTGAAAAATCAAAGAAGCCGCTACTTTATAGTAGAAGCGGCAACGCCGCTTCGTCTAAAATATTTTAGGTGTGTTAGGTCATATTGACTTATGCATACTGTGGAATTTTCAGGTTGATCCGTTGAATAGTTTGCCAGAAGCGGCTAATTAACGCTCTTCATGAAAAGCCCTGTATATGATAAAATCATATTGTGGGCTGAAAAGAACAACTTGAAACTCACTAACACCATATTGTTCAGCAGACATGGTCAAAGGGATTCGAATGTGATACTATATGAAAATAGTGAAAAATCAATCAGTCCTGTAGTAACTGTAAATATGCTAGAAATTGTTCTGGATAAAAAATGTATATGGAACCAACATATTGATACCTTATGCAATAAACTGAAGAAAAGCTGCTATTCTATTAGATTCATGTCAAATCATTGCAGCTCTAGTATACTCTTAACATTGTACCATGCTAACTTCCATTCACATCTTCGATATGGCATTCTCAACTGGGGTATGAGTGCTTCTGTTGAAAGGATATTTCTCCTCCAGAAATATGCAGTTAGAATAATAGCTAAGCTAGGGTATCGTGATTCATGTAGAGATGCTTTTAAACAGCTAAAAATTCTTACAGTTGCCAGCACCTACATACTAGAGACTAGTGCATACGTTTTCAAAAATAAATCTAATTTTCAGTCCTCTCTTCCAAATCATAACCACAATACTCGTTCGAAAGATCTAATCGTACCAAACGCTCATAGAACTTCTTTGTATGAAAAAAGTGTAGAGTACAGTAGGTGTAAATTATACAATATGCTTCCAATAGCTCTTAAGAATTCCCTAAATATTAATGTGTTCAAAAGTCAGCTGAAAAAATGCTATTTCAAAGGACTTGTTACACCATTCAAGAATTCACCAATCAACTAACCTGATATCTTGAGCTTCAGCACATTTGGTTAAAGTGTTTACTTTCAATACTTGAGAAATTGTGTGTTGATTATATTTCATTGGCTTTTTTATAGTTTATAACTAGTTACATTTATATGTTACTTTTATTACTCATGGATGTTTATCACTGTTTGTGTTATTGTGTTATTTGTATTATTTTGACTGACTTATAATATGGTTACATATTATTTGGACTGACTTTTATAAAATGGTTATATGTAGTTATTTACATTTATATATGTTTTATATTTACTTTTATAATTGACATTTTCTTTGTTTATTGTGCATTGATTTCTGTCAACTGTACTTTTCAACCAAAGAAATAAATATTATTATTATTAACACCTAAGTTGATGGATAAACTGGTAACTTGTCACTTGCAAGAATATAATAATTCCACAACATCATGGTGTCTGTTCAGGTCAATCTACCATGACAAGGCATTCGATAGGGTTAATAATTTGTTATCAAAACTGAAAGCTCTAGGTTTTGGATATACTTTATTTTTACCATACATACTTTTGCCTCCATCAGTTGTTATAGATTCCAAATTTCTCCATCGAAGGTTCTTTTTATTAATGACATTTTCAACTCCTTAAAAATATCTGCCTCAGTTGTCGTGCCGTGAATACTATCA